ACTGCTAAATCCAAAGTACAATTCAACTCCTGAATGTAAATTTATCACTTAACTCAATTTCAGACTATTTGAAAATCTAATACGTAACAGTGCATTAAAAACTTGTTTCATGTGTATGTTTTCATAGGTTAAAAAAATGCGAAGCTAACCCCATCTAAGAAAAACAACCCTAGTGACCTCACAGTGAAAAAATGTATCGGAGATACATAAGTGATATAAAACGTAAGTTCGGAAATAGAAAGACACCTCACGGTTTAACTTCTATTTCTTCTATTAATTTTCAATAAATAACATGAATGTGTGACTTACATCATTAGCTAAAATGGAATTGATTTATTAGTAATATATGTTTCAAAGAGCAATAAGTACAGTAAAAAATAAAAATGAAAAACAAAATACGTCAACTTATTTCAAAACAACATTTGAGTCAAACCTTCTGAAAGCACAACTCGTTTATTTTTTTTTTTAATTTTCTACTAAGTTTACTATAGGTCAGTTAAAGTTTTAGTTTGTTACTTCTCTCACACCATTTTAAAATAAAATAAACGAGTACAAAATTATTTTTTTCTTGATATTTCAACAAAGGAATTTTGTTACCAAAACAACATTAAATACAACATTTAAATAAGAAAAGTAAATTACAAATATAATAGAAAAAGATGTCAACAAAACTTCTGAATAAATATGTTTGTAATCTATTCATTTTGTTTTTTGGTTACCTACGATTCCAAAATATCATGGATTAATTAGTTTACAGTATATTATATTGAAACAATCACTAAAGTTGGAAGTTTGAAAAGAGTTGCTATTATACTAGTGTCACCGTAAAATACTTATTCTCACATTTCAAAATTATACTTGGGCTACTACTGTAGTACCTACTAATAAAGAACAAAAGATGGTTTGATGAATAAAGATTTTTGTGGACTATTTTCTCTTGCGGAATAAGAACGAAAAACTACTGTAGCACCAATCACACTTATTTGTCTCTAACTCTCTATACTTGTGCTATTTACAAACTTACTTTTTAAATACATAAAATATGTAAACTTATAGGGGATTGGTTGTTAACTAAATATATATATATTCCGAACTTAATGACAATATCCAAGTATTATTTTTGTACAAAACAGTTAATATTACGGAATACCATTGTGTACCTACCACAAGTTTTATTCGAATCTTATATATGCCTGTAATGCATGAATTTATATCCATGTATATAATGAGATGACATTCCACGTCCACGTTTTGCTTGTAAAATGTATAGAATATAGTGTTAAAAGCCATTAGCATGTTTAATGTGAAATTGAAAAATATATATTTCCTTATACATAATTAATCTGTTTTTTATAATGAAATTAATTATTTACTTCCTTCATTGATATGAAATGTAAGAAATGACTTAGCTTAAAGAATAATAAACTCACTTTTAACACCGCCATGAGTCTAGAAAGTAACTTTAAATATTCTTGTGAATTTTATTAAATAAATATTTACTTGAGATTGTTTTTACAACAGCTTACTTTAAAGGGTTGAAAGAATATAAATGGGTCTGATACGATCTTTCTAAAGTTATTGAGAGAAAATGGTTACTTTGTGAACAATCACAATAATTTAGCACAGTTGCCATTTGGATAACATTTAGGCTTAGTCCTCAAGTGTTTAATAAACTAGAATGAAAAAAATGATATCTAATATATTCATACTGAGGGGCATCAAACTGATTTGATCAGATGTTCTTAAACATGCTTCAAAGTAAGGATAATGAATACGATAATGTTTTTAGATACAACATGGCGGCATATTGCTTTCTAATACTTTGTGATTTATACAAGCAGACTATCTTTTAGCCTCGCTGAATAAGAAAAAAACACTTAATTGAACGAATATATATATATATATATACGCACAAATAATCCTTAAAATATTAATTCCAAGCAGGTTAGATTTTGCTGAGTATCTTTTAAATAAGTATTATATAGGTGTTATTTCAGATTAAGCATTTGTACATTGAAACAACGAACTGATTTAGTTATAGCTTACTAACGATCAACAATTTGGTTTACAAACTTAGCTTTGAAAAACGGCTGTACGAAATTAAACACAGTATTTACGATACAAAAAGGCCAAAATAAGCCCTCGTTTGCATGGAATATGTTCCGCATTTGAAGAAAAGCCAAGAGCATGTTGAGTAGTCATCAAATCTCCGTTCATAAACTACGCAGGAAACAACAACTGAATTTTATAACCTGACGTTGGCATACAATGAAATAAGTACCGAGGAAAAACAAAGATACAATATCAAAGTCCGATTTGTGATCAACCAGATTGTTTTCTTTTTCCAAATACAAAGTTGATCTTGGTGTCATACAACACTGGCAAAGCTCTAATCCTTGAGCAGCTTTGTGGCTCTCTGGTTGGCGGCTGTGATCCGTGACTCGTTGGATGTTGCCTAGAATTTATATAATAGCAATGTTCATTATTTCATCAACTACTGAGGTCTTTGTTTGTTTTTGCACACGATATGCAATTGGTTTACCATGAAATGCAATGAAAGGAGAAAACGAAAATTCGTTTACTGAACATAATACCAAATGATCATGCAGGTTTCAATATTCAGATTACGAAGAAAATAAATTAGGACTTTATATATATATATACATATTTCAATAGAAACATCTATTTATCAAGTCATATACATTAAATTAGGTTAAACTATAGACCGAGAACTTACAGTTTTAAAATAAGGTAGAATGGAGAGTTGAAAAAGTTAAAACAGGCAAATGTAACGTTCACGTTTTCAGTACAAACTAGATTAGCTTCGAGTGGTATAATTACAAATTCATATTTTAACAGTTTCATCTCAAATGGTTTCATATCCAAAAACAAAGTTTGGTACAATCATTATTACAGAACAAAGTGCTTTAAAATATAATACTTTCATAAAATAGAAATACACTTGCAAAATAATTCATGTGTAGGGGAAAGGTAGGGTAAGACGGTCACCTTAACTATGAATGCGGTTTTCACCAATTAAGATGAAGGTCATGAAAATGCAAAAGGTTATAAAATTAGCTCTGCTTCATTATAAATATTTCCAGTTAAAAACAAAAGGAAGACTTGGAATTTTAGACACTGAAAAAAAACCTTCTTGTGATTGGGAGCCGGTCTACATATAAGGTTGGATAAAACGAAATACCAAGATTGGGTAAAGTTGACCCCCATCTGACTCATGACAACTGTGATCTAAAATAAATGCTACATTTAACAACTGCAATTAAATCACTTAAATCGTAATTTAAATACTCCCGACAAGAATCGAGAAGGCTGTGTGCTACGAGGAAGTTGTGAATTTTTTAGGACAATGGTGCAAAAGAACGAGTGGGGCAATGACGTATATTGCGGCGGAAGCCCAAGGCGGAGACATACGTCATTGGTGTGGGATAAATAAATCGCCCATTAAAAACATCAGAGAAGATAAAGTGTGTTTCCTATAGCTACCTATAATTCATCATTATTTGAAATCAACAAAGTAAAATTCCGTGAAATATCTACTTCTGTTACGTCTCCGTTTGTTAATTAACTTTCCGTAACTTCGTTCCGACGAAACTTTAGCGACACAAGTCCTTATTTATTAAAACTGGTTTATTCTTTCCGAATATAACTTTACGATACACTTAATTTCAAAAATCGCGCTAAAAACAAACGCTATAACAACGAACTCTCTGACTGCAGATCAATTACTCACTGTCTACAACACACACACATTCCCGTCACGTTGTGAGCGT